TTTTTTTGGTTTTTCGAGACAGGGTTTCTCTGCATAGCTTTGCACCTTTCCTGGAGCTCACTTGTAGCCCAGGCTGGCCTCGAACTCACAGAGATCTACCTGGCTCTGCCTCCTGAGTGCTGGGATTAAAAGGTGTGTGCCACCACCGCCCGGCCAGGTAGGGCTTCTTACCAACACCTGGAATATGAGAAGAGGCCAATGCCCAAATACCTCAGTGACCCACTTGTGCTTTGGACTGACCATCATCAGACTTGTAATCCTTAAAAAAAAGTGTGTGTGTGTGTGTGTGTGTGTGTGTGTGTGTGTATGTGTGTACACCCTTTAAGTGCTTAATTCCCATTTATATTTTGAGATTTTTATTATGTGATCACAAGTGGCCCTGACTTTACATCTTTTCAACTCTAGAACCCTAGAGTTAGGAGCCTTGCTAGTCATGCCCAAAAGGCATCCCAGAGAGACCTCTGAACGGCACAACTAGCGTCACACATTGTGGTTCAGACTCTGTCAGATGAATTCTGTGCTATCTGTTTGTTATTGAGGCCAGACAGCTGGAGTGAGGGGAATTCCCCAGAAGTACGTGGGTTACCTGCACAGGAAGTGATGGATATATATCTCCAGTCGTTACTGGCATCAGATTGTCCAGCTCACACACCCATCCTCTCCCTGCATGACAGAGACTTTGTCTTTGGAGAAGGGCTCCTGAATCATTTCTCAAAGGCCAAGACCACGAAGCAGCCCTCTGATATGGGTCTGACCTTTCTCAGGGAAGTTCACCAGAACCAACAGGTGTGGGTCAAGAGGACAAGGACAAGGGAACTCTAAGAGAATACCTTCAAGCCAGCACCTCCAGGCACGCCCAGAAGCCATGTGACCCCAGGTCACAATGGGGTCAAAGCCTGCCTCCACTACTCCAGTTGTGATGTTAGGCCACTTGCTTTCTCTTTGCTCTGCCTCCCTACCTTGTTCACCTCTGTCTTGGCTCTTTCCCCAAACCTTCCCTGCCTTCTCACTCTACCCACTCAGCTTCCAAAAGGACCAGTTCAGCCAGGGATGCAGCCCAGTGACCAGAGAGGCATTGCCCCTTGGGTCCTGGAGGCAAGCTTTCCCTGGAAAATGTTTTTAAAAAATGGCTAAGAAACAGATGGGTCGGGTTTCTATAGTATTGAACATATGAAATAGAAACTTTCCTCCAGCCCAGAGTTCCAGCCTGCATGCCTCATTCCAGTAGGTTAGTGGTAAAGATTCCATCAGCAAACAACTCCTTGGGTTCGGACCTGGAACCATGATCCCAAAATTACCTTTTCTGTAGATCATGCACAGCCTTTTCTAGAACAAAAGACAGGGCTAGTAACCCTGAAAGACTAAGCCAAGAAAAAAAATTATTATTATTAGTTTTGTTTTTTGTTTTTTGATACAGAGTTTCATTGTGTAGTCCTGGCTGTTCTGAGACTCTCTGTAGACCAGGCTGGCCTTGAATTCAGAGATCTGCCTGCCTCTGCCTCCCGAATGCTGGGATTACAGGAGTGTGCCACCACTTCCTGTCTGATTTATTATTATTATTATTATTATTATTATTTACATTTCATTGCCTTAATATTTATTATTTAAAATTTAAATGTTGTATTCTGTTAGTCACATGTTGCTTGACATGGGAAAACAGCATGTTCTGAGAAATGCATCATTTGGGGGTTTTGCCATGGTGTGAATGTCACAGTGCTCACCCACAAGCCCAGATTGGCTAGTCTGCATTCCTCTGCTCTGTGGTACAGCCTTCTGTTCTGAGGTGACAGACCCAGACAGCAAGATACTGTACTGAATGCTGTGAGCAACTGTAATTATACACACACACACACACACACACACACACACACACACACACACACACACATCAGGGCCACCAAATTCCTGGTGGTAGGACGTTTTCCTCTCCCATTATTTTCTTAACAAAAACAAACAAACTAAAACACTTAAAAAAAAAAAAAAAGTCTTCATGTAGCCTAGATTGGACTCTAACTCTCTATGTAGAGGATGCTTGAATTTCTGATCCTCTCTTTGAGGTTGAGATTACAGGTATGTGCCGCTGCCAGGTTTATGTGGTGCTGGGGATCAGGGCTGCAGGCACCAGCTCAGGACCTAGTGAGCAGGAGGGGTTCAGTGTGTTGGGGGGAATGTGAAAGCATGGTGGAGGCAGGGGAATGGCCACTACCAGACCTTCCTGGACCTCACAGAGACCAGTACCTCTGGTTGGAGGGCACTGGGAGGATCAGCAAGCCGTGCTAAGTCTAGATTTTAGAACCATGAGCGCAAGGAACTTTCTGGACCCTCAAGACCTCCATCTAGTGAGATAAAGGCAAACCTAGGCTATACTGAGAATGGACAAAGCCAAGAGGAAGGACTTGGAGACGCTGAGAGGTACCTTGCCCATTTCTGGAGACACCTGGTCGGAGCCCTAGCCACAGTTGAGCAAAAGCCTTGGCCGGTGGTTGAGATTGCCCAGAGGAGGGACCCCAGCCCCGTCCCCGCCTCCCAGCCTGCGTGCTGTTCAAGCTGCGGTGATGAAGCTGGAACTTGCCTCTCTCAGGCAGATGAGTCGCAGGCTTTCAGACCGGATTGGCATGCGGCCGTCGAGCAGTTGGTGGCAGGAGCCAGGGGACTGGGAGAGCAGGTTTTCGCTGGAGGGGACATGAGCTTTATTTCCCTCTTGGTTGCTGACAAGGAAGCAGCTGGCCTTCCCTGATTATTTTTACCCGGAGTCACAGACGCTGCTGCCGAGCCTCCCCAGCGCCCGCCGGCGCTCTCCCAGCTCAGTGGCGCACCGTCAGCGCCACCTGCCGCCGCCTGCTGCCGCTGCCGAGAGAGCACAGCGGCCCTCAGACCAGTGCTGGCCACTGCCCTCCAATTCTGTGGTTAATTTTTGTCTTCTTGTTCTCTTCACTCCCCTCCTCCCTTCCTTCTGTTTTTCTGGGGTTTTTTTTGTTTGTTTCTTTGTTTGTTTGCTTGCTTGTTTTTTTGTTTTTGTTTTGTTTGGTTTTTTTTTTTTTGAGACACAGTCTTTCTATGTAGCCCAGGCTGACACTGGACACTCTCCTGCTTCTGGGATCACAGGCCTACATCACTACACCTGGCCACAGGAGTGGTTACAGTTAGCACAACACATCCACATCTGTAGGGTCCACCTCAAAAAGTTAGATATATTGGTGTTGGAGAGGGCTCAGTGGTTAAGAGTGCTTGCAGCTTTTATCATTTATCAGGAAAGCAAAGTATTTCCCTAATGTCTCCCCACAAAACCATGGATCACATTTCAGTGGTAACATGAATTACCCAAAACTGTGAGGGAGGCTGAGAAAAATCAGCATTTCTTGGATAAAGGAGAAGGGCAGTAACGACAAATGCTGGGTCAGTGTCCTCAGTATCTGCCCCAGTCCATGCGAAGTTACACTCAGTTACAATTGTATCACACAGAGGCCTAATTCATGCTCCCTACCTTGTTCCTTTACTGTGTAGCCTTTGCAGCTTCCTTATCACTGTGTTTTGGTTTGGGGCGTTTTGAGACAAGTCTCACCACGTAGCTCTGACTGGTCTACAATTCTCTATGTTGATCAGGTTAGCTTCCAACTTGTTGCAATCCTGTTTCTCCTTCCCAAGTGCCAGGATGACAGGCATGAGTTACTATACACAGTACTGTGCTGTCTTGACAACTCTCATTTTTAATGGCTTAGTGTTTCTTCAAGTGAACACATCACAGGGCATTTACTGAGCTACTTTTTTTCAATGTACCTGTGTATCTGCAGGTTCACATGTGTGTACATGTGGAAGTTGGAGGGCAACCTTGGGTGTCATCCTCAAGAATACAATCCACTTCTTTTGAGTCAGCGTCTCTCATTGACCTGGAGCTTCCATTTAGATGTAGCTAGTTGGCCAGTGAACCCTAGGGATACCCCTTTCTCTGTCTCCCCAGTACTATGATTATGAATACATGCCTGGTTGTTTTATGCAATGCCTAGGCAGCAAACACAGGTCTTCATGCTTGCAACATAAGTATTTTAACCAACCTCCCAGCTTTGGACCTACCTTTTTTCCCCAGAATTATTCTGATCACTGCTTTTTAGAAAATTGTGACTTTATTATTTATTCTTATTTTATGTGTGTGAATGTTTGCCTGCATGTATGAAGTATATCATGTACATGCAATACCCTGGGAGGCCATAAGAAGGCATCAGATCCCCTGGAACTGGAGTTGCAGATGATTGTGAGGTGCCATGTAGATGCTGGGACCTGGGTCCTCAAAGAGAAGCAAGTGCTCTCAACCAGTGAGCCATCTCTCCAGCCCCATCATCACTGCTTTTATGCACAAAGCACTTACCATAAGGCAAAATTCCTACTGTCAAGGACCATAGCATCTTCGATGCTATCAATGTTATTCCATTGATCTCCAAGAGGGCTGTGCTAGTTTACACTGTTACAGTACCTAACAAGTTTGTATACTTACAATTTGTCACAACTGTGTAGCACAGAATTATGATTTATGGACTCTTTGCCAAATTAGTATCATAAAATGATATAATAAATTGTTGTTTTTATTCCTTTGATTAAAACAGAAGAGAAACATTACTCCTCATATTTATTTATTCATTTATATATTATCATTATTTTGAGACAAGGTCTCACTAGGTAGCCCAGGCTAGTTTAGAACTTGCTACTATGTAGATGAGGCTGGCCTTGAACTCACAGAGATCTACCTGCCTCTTCCTCCTTGGTGCTGAGACTAAAGGGGTGCACTACCATGCCCACCTCCCAAGGGACATTTTTTCCTTCCTTCTTTCCTTCCTTCCTTCCTTCCTTCCTTCCTTCCTTCCTCCCTTC